TAGCTGATTTAAAATCTCCCCTCCATTAAAATGCATGATTTTCGCGTATAAGAGGCACAGTGTGCCTCGCACAGTTCGACGCAACTTCGTTGCGCGTGAACTTGGCGCGAGGCACTACCGTGCCTCTTGATAATACACGAGGAGCGATTGATAAGCACCCGAAACAATGCATAAGTAGCGACGATGATGTCACATTGCTGTCATCGTTGACAAGTTTCATACTTCAAGACGAAGAACAAGTATCAAACGCTGACTCGTTATCGCGTGTAGTGTTGTTGTGACAGCTCCTCGAAGTCAAGACGCTCGTCAAGGCGCTGTCAGTAATTTTTGATCAACTCGCTTCAACTGCAATAGCCACATTTTACGAGTTTCAAATTGCTGCCAGATATATGCGATGCCATTCCTATTTATTTCCGAATTTGTAAAAAAATTGCACGGTGGAAAGAAATTGTCAAGCAACAATGAAGCAAACAGTATTATATTTTGACGAGCTGTCACACAAACAGCATTTAACATTTGTTCTTCTGATGAATGAAACTTGTCAATCACGACAGTGTGCGATACTACTGTCGCTATCTGTGCGTCGTTTCGGATACTTATCAATCGCTCCACGCGATTGTTGACTCTTCAACAATTTATAACATAATTGAAGGGAAGATAATTTTAGATTAAAATGAAAAAAAGCCAAAGAAAATATATAAAGTATAAAAAAACTAAAGTTGAAAATTGTACAGTTTTCTTTTAATTATTTCGTGAAAGATGAACGCGTTGTGTTGACAATATACAGAAGTGTTTTATTCGAGTATTCACACGTTTCGACTTTTATTTCGCAACCCAAGATCGGGGGCGGCCCTCGTACATTCACTGGAAAATATCTGACGGCATTCTCCCGTATTTCACCCGTGTCTACCACTTTCCCATCAAGGCGACGAATTCGACGAGAAAGAGAGAAAAGTTCCTTCGCGCGCGCGTTGGATAATTGTGGAATATAAATTTTCCGTTCGGGCGACGCCTCTGATATGGAACTGGAAAATTTTTTTATCCCCCTTCGGTGTGAAGCGTATCGGACGCGTTTCCGCACGAGCAACGTTTTTCTCTTCCGACATTATTCACGTTATCTTTCATGTTTCCCGACCGTTTCGAATCATTTGCATTAATCTTCCATTGTTTTTAATTAAACGCATCATTTTCATTAACACGTGCAAGCTGTGCTATTACATTTTCTCAAACATTTATTTTAGACGAGACGCGCGTTGTATTAAACTTTTTCCTCCTTCGAAATTCTCGACGTCGTCGTCGTCGAGAGGGAGAGGAGGAGGGTATGTGTCTATATATTGATTAAATCTGCATGTAAATCGACGGAATAAGCTGCTTTCCTGATAGATTGAAGAGAAGGGCTCGCGAAGGGAGTGGGTGGCACGAACAGGAGACTTAGTGGGAGAGGGTTAGGAGGCCTCTCGAAGGTCGAGTCAGAAGCGAGAGGGAAGACACGAACGGAGATCGAGCGTAAGCTATAACCGAGTGACAGGTCAATATTAACTCTGACGCCGATGGTCGGACTCGTGCACGTGAATTCACGTTCGATATCCGGCGGAAGTAATCGAGTTCCGCGAATGGACCGAATTCGCGCGCAAACCAGACGCGCTTGTTCGCTGGAATTTGGAGGGAGATTTGGTATTTCGTCTCGGCAAATTGTTACATTTGAGATACCACAGTGAACAACGATGAACGGCAGCTCGTGAACGCACCGCCGTATATTATGTTGTACGTCAAATCTGTCGGAGAGAGAAACCGCATGGTTCTCATACTTGCAGGAATGTTAAAATTAAACATAGACAGATAACACACACACAGCTATTTGTATTTAACATTATATATAAATAAAAACAAATAATAACGCGGTAAAAAATTTTTTTATTGTGAAAACCCTTGTTTGTAACATAATATCGTTAAAAGGAATCTCTTCTACACTCGGTTGATCACACAACGTTGTTGTAATCGCCCGAAGTCATGTTCGCAAATTGAATGTCTCAAGACAGCCGCGGTCTGTTCGGCGGAAATTGTGTCGAAAGTTTTCTCCGACGACGGGGGAAGCGGAGTCGTGAAATCGATGGCGCGCGATGGAAATCGGGCGGTAGAAATGTGATGTTACGAAATCGCGGAGGCATTTTTCACGATCAAGTTTAATTGCCGGCGAGGTATACGAGGTGCAGGGTCGTATATGCCGGGAACCGAGGGAAATGCGCGTTAATCGCAGACGGTGATTAATGCTGCCCGCCGGGACCGCCGGCGCTGGTCACTTCAATGAAGAGACGTGGAGAAACGTGGGCTCTTTAGGGGAGGCTGTAATTTACGTTGCGGTGGTGCATACAAAGCGGCAACAATCGATACAAAGCGGGTGGAATCGACGGAGACTTGTCTCTTCTTTCGTTTCTGCACGACGCAAGAAAACATGATGCTATGAGACCGTTCTTCGCTTTTTTTGGATTTTAAAAATAAATTACACAAATTATTTTTTTTTGCTGCCAAGCTGCTTATATTCTGAGGGCACTTATTTTTTGTTTATATATTTCTGTCTATTCGCGCAAGTCAAGTGGTCTACGCAAAGTGTACGCGTCGCGCGTGGATTGTTGACGATCGCGAAAATTAGCAACGAGAAAAAACGTAGCGGAGTACCACGTCTCGAGTGGTACACGTTTTATAGGGAGCCAAAGAAAAGGGTACTTTCTGTACTTACTCCTGCGTGAGCGTCGCGGCCGACGGTTTCTCGATTTCCGTGCTAATAGTGCCACCGTCTGGCGTTCGCAACGCAGCTTCCAACGCGGCCGCCTCCTCCTCCTCTCTTAATTCTTCCGAGGCCTCTTCGGGGATCGTTGTAATGTCCTCGATCGGCGGCAGCAGCTCGTTCCCGTTCTCCTCCAAGTGGTTTTCCAGCATGGGATCGGAATTATTGTCGCCTGGTCGCGTCACTTCCTCGATATCGGAATCGATACCCTGCGGGATAAGATCGGGAAATACGTTACTGTAGCTGACATATTGGTTTTTACGTAATGTCGTTTTTTCCCACAGAATAATAATTAGATTTGTTTGCACATTTTATTTTTTTTAAACAAAAAACAATAATACCAATATTTTTAGAAGTAACTGGGGCAGGTATAAATACGAAAAAATTAGAGCAGTGTAAAAATGCATTTTGTAAATCAAAGGCGATTAAATAAACCAGGTGTGTGGTATGACACATGATTGAAGTAAATAGAAGCGCAGGTCTCTCTAATGGAACAAAATACGCAATTTTTATCGTTTTTTCTTTTTTTTTTTATAAATTATCGTAATTTTTTTGCCTTACATTTGCTTGATCGGTCTCGGTCATAATGTCGCTTTTTGGTTACACACAAAAGTCGAAGCTTCGATTTAAAGAGAGCTGAGAACTAACAAAAATCAAGAATTGTAAACTAACCGACTGACGAAGACCGAAGTATCGATTGCGACGCTGATCGAGTCTGAGATTCAACGTTTAGTCTATCTAATGATCTAAGGACGTCAAATCTTTTTTGATTTCTCCAATCAAAATCGGATGTCAACTCTCTTCTTATTCTGCTAAAATTCCAATCACTCATTCGCGAATTCGAATTAGCAAAAGCGATTGCTCTTGACGATTGCTACATTGCCTTGTTTATCGTTCAAGAGTTTTGATATCGTCTTATCTCGTCTAGATCTGCGTTCGCAGCTATTGTCTTTTTTAATCGTAGCTTCGACTTTTCTTTCGGAAGAAAAAACTTCCTCAAACTTCGAACGTGTGACTCGCTATTCATCTCAGACATTTCTCAGGGTGTCTCTGACTACATCTGGGTGCTATTGACTTACATCTTTTCAAAAGAATCGATAAGGCTATCTATTTATCATATGAATCGCTCGGTTTTGTTTATTACGCGTGAATTACTTAGAGTCGATCTATTAACCTAATGGGTTTTTTATTCTTCGTCCAAAACTCGTTATTTAAATTATATCTTAGAATATTATAAGCGAAACTTAACAGCTAGTTTATATATTTTGTTCCAAATGAGAGATCGTGAAGAACGTAACATATATATGAGTATATTGAATTTATCTTTTGGGATGTATAAACTCTATTGTGGCAATTCAGCTCGGCACGTCACTTCACACTTTAATCCGATTTCAGAGGGGTCAAATTCGGAGCCGAGAATATCCCGAGGATAATTTAATTGAAATTTATCGGGATCTGGCATTCGTGTCCCAAAAATTATCTCTCTCCCGTTTCTCTGCGTTAATCAACAAAGGGTTAATCATAAAAAATTTTATTTTCCACTCGTTTTCGTATTATATATGTAATTTTCATAAATTTTCAGAATTTAAAAATGATGAAAAATAAAAAAGTTTTGTTTGTAATTTTTGTGTCTTTTTTGTAATAATTCACGGAGAAAACGACAATTTAGAATCAGAGACCTTCATAATTCTCGCCTTGCCGCCCGAAATCTTTCCGAGTAATTACCCTCGGTTGCTCAAGACAGATGATTTTTAATCTGCAAGGTACGTGTGTGGCACACCTCGTTTTTCCCCTCGTCCTACCTGAGCAAAGTCCATGTAGAAGGAGTCCCTGGAGTCGGAGCTGCCCTCGCGTAGCCGAAGGCTGAGATCCGGTGAACACTCTCCCATCTTCCTTATCTTCTTATCTCCTTCTCGCTTTTTCAACCCTCGGTTTCAACCACACCTCTCTTCCGAAGAGAGAGTGAGAGAGAGAGAGACTCCCGATTCTCCCTCGCGCCTCTCCTCGTTTCGTTCGCCCCCTCTCGCGCGCCAACCCCCTTTGTCTTCGACGATCTTCTCTACGGACGAGAAATTCTAAAGAGGGTGGACCCTTGCGCACACAATCCGCCGGGTTTGCAGCCTGAAAGAATCGGCTCTTGAAAGACAGATCGCCTCAACGCCACTGTCTCCTCTTCTATCTGTCGTTCGCGCGAAGAAGAGACGACAGAGATGGCTCTCGACCGCGCGATGCGAAAATATTCCGGTGAAAAGAGCCGACGAGCGTGCCGCGCAACCCTCTTTTTTAACTACAAACTTTTCGTATCCCCAGATATCAAAGGTACTTCTTTGCCCATCCCTTCGCGAGATACACGATTGCGTGAGCACGCGTCGGGAAGCTGTGATTTTTATTTCGACGCTTATCTCGCTTATTAGTCGCCGAGCGATCTAGGGTGGTCGCCGAGAACTGCTTCTCAGGGTGGTTTTTTCACCCTCTAAACACGCGATAATATCATTACGACGCTTCTTTACTTTGCTTTAAAACAATTACCACCAATAAGTGTCACCTGTAAATATATAAGACGTAAATCTACCATGTAACGCAAAATCGAAACAAAAAAAATAATAATTTTATCTTTTTTTATATCAATGTATTATTTTCCGAAATTTTTAGCGACATTTATCACGTGCTTTACGTAAGAAACCTTATCCGTTTGCGGGTAGTTTCTCGGAAACGGGCTTCGATGCTCTTAATTACGTAAGGTGACGAGACGGCACGGGGGCGTACTTCGTCAAGATCGAAACTAATTACGCAAGGTAAGGAAATTGAATCTGACTTTCTTCTCGAGCTAATTATCTGACTGCTTTGCAGAGCGCAGTGATAATTTCAATCGGAATTACAAAACATAAATCAATGTTCCATTATATATATTTAATAATTCATCACCGATCGCGGAATCATAGAAGAAAGGACGTACAGAAGGAATATTTTATTCTCGCAAAAAGCGATCAAAAATGTCAATCAAACGATTTTATTCATATATAAGAGAATTTTGCTTAAAAATGCGTTCAGAAGAATGCGATACATTGCTATGTACGGAAGTTGTAGTTTATCTTATAAGACGGAGACTTATGCACTTAGTCGTGTTGTTTCTAAGACTTAGCGGCAAGTTCGCTACGCGGGGCTGACGTTAGCAGTCGTAACAAGATACTCCAAGTGAGACGGTGCTTTATGCGCGCGCGGAATGCATAATTACTTGCGCAAAGCCTCCGGCGATTACAGCCTTCGAAACTTGAGCTACTTCACCATACAATATTAATACCAACGTAAGTAACCGTTTTGCGTTCGGGCGGGGACAAAATTAAAGGGAAAATGCCGATTGAATTACCCCGCGCAATACATTTGTACTAGTCGTACATGCGCTAACGAGAAAAACATTACAAATAAAAGTAAAAAAAAAAAAGTATCTATCGCATATATTTCGCAGTAAGTTCGATAACCTACTCGCAGCAGAAGAAGCCAATGGCCCTCGTACCTTCAGAGAACATTTGTCGTCGTATAAGTGATCCAGTGCGTAGGCAGTAAAACGCTTCCTTGCCAGGACACGGGGGGGGCTTGAACGTCAATGAACATTCTTCCCGCTCGGGCTCGTCCCTAACGCCGTTCCACGACGGACCCTCCCGTTTCTCGAACGTTTTATGGCTCCTATACGTGGCATCGAATATTTCTCCATCAAAATGACTCCCCGCGCACATTAGGGAAACACTAGGCAACAGCAGAAGCAACGCAGGGTCAGTCCGCCACGTTTCGTATCGGCCGCAGACAACACAAATAAATTTTGCGGCTGCAAACGTAGCATACAGAATAATATCGATCGCACGAATCGCGTTTTGTTTTATATTATTGGAGTATAATCGATTTGCGATTCACAAGATAAAAATAATTCTTAATTACTTACTCTTAAATTTTGTTACTAAATGTAACAAAAATAAAAATTTCTGACAAAAACTCTCAACGTTAAACAGTGTTGGTAATAATAATTTCTGAATAAACTAGACATAGTCAAAAAAATTTATGTCAAACATCAAACAGTAGGTGTAAGATAATTTATAAGATAGTAAGACATTATAGAACAATAACTTATAAGATATTAAAGAAATCAGAATGCGATAAGAAAACAACTAGATATAACAATACCGGATGCAACAAGGCGGAAGGATTGCGAGAATCGATACGAAGATTCTATATCCAACGGTGTGTGCCAATATAGTAGTAGTATCTCGCTGGTACACTAGTGCAGTTGTTGTTTTCCCAGAATTCCGTAGCAACGATTTTCCGTCGCGTGCGGGGAAAGGCACACGGCGTATTTCCACTTCACGTTCATGCTCGGAAGCAGTTCATTGCCTTTTTACGCCGGCGATGTCGCGTTCTGACGTTTTTATCTAAACTACAGGTCTCTCGTTGTGTATGTGTTGCACCAGATGCACGCAATAATGCACGCAACGAGATGAAAAATAAACGCCCGGCAAATGATACACCGAGAACTATCGAGCCACATCAAAACGCAAAAAAAAAAAAAAAAAAAAAGAAAAAAAGAAATAGCGAACTTAACTATAACGCGCTCGCATGCTATTTATAAAGCTGGCGTAGTTATTTCGATTTCTTTATATCGCAAATTACAAAATTGTCTAAATAAAATCAATTTTTCTCTAGATAAATAAACTTTTAAATTAATTTTTTAATAAATTTGTACATTTTATTTTCAATCGGTTTCTTTAATTTAAAGTATTCCCGAACGTCAAGAAAATGTTTTATACATAATCTCAAAAATCTTTATGACAATAAAATTCAATTTTCCAGATTGGCTCGAAGATATTTCTGCAAATTTCGGCCATCTATTTCGAGAATAGCTTCTGTGTCGTTCGATCGATCTTATATCTCTCGCCGTGCTACAATTTCACATGCAAAATATCATACATACATACATAATTCAACCCTTCATGTAATAAATAATAATCCACCTCGAAACGATACACACCATAGTACTTGTCAATTTTGATGTGCGACATCAAATTCAACGTCAAAAAAAAAAAAAAAAAAAAAAAAAAAAAGAAGCGTCAGTCTATCAGATTTTCCCTCCAACGCCGAATTCCGTGCACTTCCGTGCGTCTTTTTGTTCATCAAAAGAAAAAAAAAAGTTGCGGAAGAAAAAAAGAAGGAAATGCGCTCACGGGAAGAATTCAAGACATCGTTCGCCTTCCGGCGTGCGTCTTCTTCCCGCATCCTACGTCGTCGTTTTCCCGTGGGCGACGCATCCTCCCTCTCACATTGTAGTACTACGCACCGTGCAATGTCCTTCGTTTTCACTTTCATTCGGCGCCTCTTCTCGCCGGGCTCGGCCGCGGACCCGTCATCTACCGCCTTCCGCCTCCACCCGGGTCCACAGCGAATCCATATCCCGTAATCGGTGCCTAACGCCGCCGCTACCGCTGCCGCCGCCACCCACAGGTTGTAAACACACGTACCAACGCGTTTCCGGCACACGCACACGCGTACCTACTAAAAGCGGCTCATCGCACGAGGTGCGTATATGCGAGCCGCGCTTTTTTCCCGCGAACTCCTCACGAACTCGTTAACTTCATTTCACCCCATTCGGACTCAACTTCCGGTATTTCTCTTTTTCTTTTTAGTAGCGTCTTGTCGAATTATCTCCTTTCTCTTTTATTTTAACACGCTCCGGGAAAAGGGTTGTGAAACTTGTTGAGCAAATCAAGCGAGTAAAAGCATGAGAGTATAACAGAGAGAAAGAGAAAGAAAGAAAAAAAGAGAGAGAGAGAGAGAGAAAAAAAACGTTTTCCAAAATCGAGCTCGGAGTATGGAGCGCGATCAATCGTGGCGCGCGTACATGAGGCACGACGGAGACACTTCAGCACCTCCCGAAGGGTGCGCTACGCGAGGCATCGACATTCTGCGAGGGTCGCCGGGCTGCTGTGATGGCCCGGGCGTCGCGACGGGAGCGCCCGCGCCGCGCGGCGCCGCGACGCCGCCACCCGTCGCACGCCGCTGCGCCGAACGACGATTGTTGCATCTCGGCGCACGCTCGTGCAGCAACAGAATGGACCGAGAGAAACATTGAATGACACTTTCCCTCGATATATTTGTGTAAAAAATGTTTTTTAAACAATTGTAGATAAATTTATATTTAAATTGTACATAATTTACTGACAGAGTTCAATAACTTATTAAACTTTGAATGAATTTTTAAATATATTTCGTACATTGCTCTCTTGGGAAAAGAGAATACGCGCATGCGCTTTATAGTAGCTCGTAGATGATGATTTATTAAGATAAATTTTTTTTCACGCGCGCGCGCGTTCGAAGAAAGATATTAATAATATATATCGCTATTGAGCGATGAATAACGAAACACCCACATATAGTAAATACTACTACTTATATGTAGTAACTACTGCTATTTTATGAAAGTTAATTCGTAAGTGACTGAGTATTTGGATTTTGCAAATTTACGATATTAAAGATGACTTAGGACAAAAGACAATAAATTTACAGATGTGAACAATAAAACAGTTTTTATTTTTGCTTTTTGACAAAATAGAACACGTGCTGCGTAGTTTAGTGAAAAAAAATTAAAATCGAGATGTACAAGTATCTTAATCTACAGAGTGAAAATATCTATGTTACATTTCTTATAAAATGATCGTAATGTAAGTATCACTGATAAACGTAGCCTATATGTTGGTTCTCACATTATATAAAAAACTAAATTGTAACAATGTAAGGATGCCTGTGTAACCTCGAAGATCTTCATCAGTCTCGTACTTGGTTTTGCATTTCTCTCTTTCTCTCTCTCTTTTTCTCTCTCTATGATCCGCGATCACTCGACATTTGGATTTTATCATATACTATGTATGTATATATGTATATGTGTATATAAATGTTAGTATATTGTACTGGTTTCTTTGGAAAGTTCGTAACGTTTTCCAATCGGTGATATTACCGTAAATGACAACATGTTCGAAACATGTACATGAAACATCGCGCGAATACTAAAAACATCGAACAGCACCATGTATGAGCATTTTATAGGAGCTAAATGATGTGAGTCAATACGACACGATAAATCTTTAAAGTTTATTAAAAACAAACGTTACGTACTTTCCGAATATACGTGAGAATTAATTTCCAACACATTTTTGCCAAGCCAGACCCCCACATGCTATGGAGACGATCACGTAAATTCCAGCCTGTAGATAAAAATCGGATGACGTTAGATCGCGATAAGATCGATATACGGACACACAGTCTAATAATAATGAACTTACGATCAAAATGGCACCAACAATAACATAAATTTTAACATTCTTCCAAAATAAAGACCGTGCTAAATTTCTGCTAGTTTTCCTGAACGTGACAGACTAAAATGAAAAATTGAAATATTTATTACAAATAATCGACCCCGTTTGAAGGACGAGCGTAATTGTACGTACATTAACAGACAAATTTTCCGTTTTGTTTATGAGTAATTCTAGCCGTTCCCCACGCATGGCTATGTTATCAATATTTTGTACCATGATGTCCTTAAGTTCGTCTAATTCACCATGAACTTTGGACAATCTATCAAGATCTTTGGATTCGCTGTAATGTTTCTGAGAAGAAAAAAGAACATAACAGACGCTATAGATATTTTTTATAGAATATATTAAGATTTTTAATCAATATTGGATTATTTCGAAGGGGTTTTAAATTTTTTCTCATATACGTAATGCAAATCCAGCATCCTGTATGAATTCATGAATTGAAATTTCAAATTGGATAATTATGTGTATTAACTACTAAATAAATGTATATACATATTTATTTCGCACAAACATCTAGCATATCGGCTCTTATGTACCGGTTAAAATTTGTTGTTAGTTTTAAACTACACGAGCCTTAATTCTTCGTTAATCAAGAGGCACAGTAGCCTCGCGCCAAGTTCACGCACAATAAAGTCGCGCGCGAACAATACGAGCACTCCGTGCCTCTATTACGCGAAAATGAGTAAATGTGACATTTGTGAAAAAATGAAATATTCATATTTCAGTAACGACTAAACCGATCGACTTCTTTTTAGTCTCAATCGATTTTTTTCAGGGTTGGCAAGAAAAAACCAGGAGGTGGAAAAAACCATGGTAAATTCCGGTTTTAACCGTCCTGGACTTTATTCCTAAACTGGCATAAACTGGCAAAAATTATACAAATGATTAATACATGTATTTATTATGTAGTTATAAAATTTATATTATTAATATTATATTATATATATTATATTATATTAATATTATAGTATTAATACATGTAGTTATAAAACTTTTTACCACTCTATATCTTGTTTGCAATTATACTCAACATTTGTATTTAACATTCTATAACAGAAAACTAGTTTGTTTGATATTTTAACTCCTAATTTATTGCGTACTTTGTTTTGTATAAAACTTATATTCGAAAATAATCTTTCTATTGACGCCGAACTCGCTGGACAGTTATGTAGATGCATAACAAAATTAATAAATTCTGCAGGAAAATCATCATTTTTACATAATGCTTTCCACGACGTTCTGACATTTATATTTCTAGCTTTCTCAAAAAAAAAGATTTTAAAAAACATTCTAAAATATTAAATATTAATATTAAATATTTACTTCGGTTTAGAAAACATTAATTGTTGCCGGTTTTTTCCAGAAAATACCGGTAAAAACCGGTTTTTACCACTGGCATGGACTTTTTCCAAAAAAAACCGGACTTTTGCCAATCCTGATTTTTTTAATTTTTAAAGTTTTACCATTTCGTTGGCTAAAACACGACCAAATTCTGTGTTCATGGCATATGCCACGGCAGTTTGAGCACCTGGTCCATAAACAGCCAAGAATCGCCTTTTAATTTCATTGAGATATAAAAATGCCCTAGACCTTTGAAAATCCTGAAATAAAAGTGTGTCACATATCGAATTTACACATTCTTAATAAAAATACAAATGCTTAAGGTGGCATAAAGGACGATTCTGATTGCGTATTTTTTATTATTATAAACTGCTTAATAAAAATGTTAACAAACACTTTAATCGTAAGGTCAGATCCTCTTCGGTGTCAATAGTTCAGTGTAAGTTACGCTGAACATTAAAAACAAACAAATACACATATGTATTTGTGTTTTTGAGAATTTAAAAAATCATCAGGCATTAAAGATTTTACATCTTTAATGTTTATCTCTTGGTATACTTTATATACATACATCGTCGGTAATACACATATAAATAATGTGATCCTCGCAGATGTAATGAAACAGATAAGGCCCTTGTGAGTATGTGAGTTTGTCATTGTCTGGTGGTATCTTTGCCAGGATTTTTGCTGTTACTTCCTCGAAGTTTCCGACACACGCAGCATGCTTTGCTAGTATAATTGTTCCACGAGCCACCACACTGTATAAAATTGGCATATTGACAGCTGTAATAAAAAATATATCACTGCAACACAGTTAAGTGTTTTATTACGATTTTGTATATTTTCTGCCTGAAAAAATATTATTAAAAATAAGTCGTTAAAAGGGCCAATATGAGCCTTAGACACTGCTGACGGTGTGCAAAAAAGTAATTCAAAAAAAAAAAAAATTGATTAACGTTTCGATTCCTTTATTGAATCCTCTTCAGAAAATATAAATACATGACCTACAGTTAACAAAAAAGGATATCAGTATGCAAATCTACTTAAAAATAAAATATAAAAGTCAAGAAACTTACATGTGTCACAAAAACCAAACAAATCACTGCATTACCACCAAGATAGAATTACACAATTAAAGAAGAAAAACATGTTAAAAACATGATTTTCATTGTGGTCAAACATAAAGTTATAAAATAAAAACTAATCAAAAAGTTCAATTAAAAAGCAAGAACGGAGACAACGTTTCAAGAAACCGTCAAATTGAATATTATTGACAAGAAATGTACGGTAAGGACACAAGTAAAAACAAAGTACAAACAAAAAAATATTATTAGAAATTTAATTTTTTTTTGTTCAATGTCCAAATGTTCGGCAAATGATAATACACTATTCTCAATAGGGTTTCTCAACACAAGTGAAGACAACAAGCATATGAATAGTCCGTAAGCAAGTGTATGACACAATTCTAGAATAAGTATTCGATAAAGATACTGCGTAGCACAATAGCTGATAAAATTAAAAGCTCATTTAATAGCTATTTCGACACAAACATGTACGTGCTGCAATACACACGTTTACGGTCTTAACCTCTTTCATTTTAAATTGACATTACGAATCAAAGTACACTTGTCTGAATCAATAGAAATTTTGATTGAACGCAAAACTGACAAAGACGTGCTCGACAAAAAATAGATCATTGATAATCTGATACTCGACCTACCTCGTATACGAACCGTGCGTGATCAAATAAACAATAGCTTCACCTACTATTTACGTCTTTGATAATGCAACACGATTACTAGTAAAATTACATTTATATTAGTGTAATAATCAATTAATTAAATTTATCGGTTTTTCTCGGAAGCTTTGATAAATACATCGAAACACCTCCCGTGACTGCAAAACACTTGCCGTGGTATCATTGATGAATATAACGGATGACAGTAATGACAGTTGGCTGAGTACACAGTGAAGTAGAGAAAGTCCCCAGAAAAATCGAAATCTCGAACTTGCGCACACAATAAGGCGCGAAATTTAATATAATAAAATAGAACATGACATAAATATTTGCACTGCACAGACAAGTAAATAAATTTTTCATTAAATTTTTTATCCACTTCTATAACATATATTGTTTTTTGTTTCAGTTTCAATTTATTCTTTATATATTTTTATTAGAATATAGAAATTATGTTTATGTAAGTTGTAATAAATATTTTGTTTAATAAATGTATGTAATTTAAATTGATTTTGCTCTACCGTCTATAAAATTTTTTTAAATATTTTGTTTTTGCAGAGATTTTACTGTCAGATTAAAAATATAGTGTTTTATGAACAAAATCCAAAAGTTTTAACATGTCACATTGCTTTAATATTTTAATACTTGTAATATTTTAATATTTTAATATTTGTAGCAAATTTTGTAAAAAAAAGTATACTAAATCTACTTTGTACAATTAGGGCAATATAAGAAAGGAAAGAGATTGTTCGTCACTTACATCATTTTTTTAACTCTGCGCGAATTCTTTTGTATAATCAGAAATTATTAATCATTCACATTTGACCGCACATTTGGCTCTTAAAAGCCAGCAGAAAACGGTTCACGTGTCCGACCAGCTCGGGCGCATGTGCTACACACACTCGTAGAAAGCTACGTTCCAGTTCTGGATATGATGCTCTCCCACATTGTGATGGCTTGTGCCTCATGTCGGCGAGGCAGCGACTTCGTCTGGCTACAATGATGAAAAGAGACAGCAGAACGTAACGCGAAAAGATAACGGTGTCTTCGTCACAAGAGGAGGACTTCTGCTGTGCACGTAAAAGTTGATACCAGTACCACGAAGACTGCGAGAAGGTGAAGTTTTCTGGCCGGTCGTCCGAAGATTCTGAGAGAATCTTTGGTCAGATTTCATCTGAGATCACTCACACGAACACACACGTCTGTCGGTGTCTGTTACGTCATCTTCAACCTCGACTGAATGGGTAACTATATATGTCAGCATTATTCAGTGATAATTATTAGCAATAACTTATATTTGTCCAAATGATTTCGACATAACGTAAGAACATTATGGACATTCGTCTTGGTTTATTGATTTCTTCGTCTTGGAAATTAACAGAATCGCAAAAGAGAAATGTGGCGTATATCAACGCGCGCGCGACTGATAAACGGCGACACAATTTATGTAAAAAATATAGATAGTGACACAAACTATAAGATACATATTTGAAGAAAAAAAGAAAGCAAAAATTTAATAGAAAATATTTGAAAAAATACGAACACTGCAATGTTACTAAACTTGCAACAAATTTGAAAAAAAGAAAATAAAAGAATAATAAAAAAAACAACAGAAATTATATAATACGATAAAAATTTTTTGTACGTATCTTTTTATGATAAGATGATATGACATTATCTAGAACGCATCTTAAACATAGTCCCAATGTGATACATTGTTTTAATTAAAATCTATAGTAGCTTATCATGTTACATAATAATGTAAAAAATAATTTAAGATCTTAAAATAACTCAAGATTTGTTAACAAATTAAAGTTTATAATAAAGAGAGAACAGAGAGTAAAAGAATTAAACGACTTTTCGAATTTTTAACATAATTTTGCATAACTTTTACATTTGACTTAAAATTGATTAACGTAATGCACGCGTTTGTTCAGTTTACTTTTTGAATGTATAAAATATTCATAAATTGGAATATGTGTCTGTTATCTCTTCATTATAATAAAAATAGATATTTATCTGTGTATGTTTCCTCGCTAATGCGTAAATACCGTGGTGAATAAATTATATGAGCGTAAACCTAACATTCCACAGACGCAAGGCGTAAGAGTGGAAAAGCATTCTAACTCGGGAAATGATTGCACGGAATCTTCAATATTTCGCACGGCACATTTCTTATAAACAATTATTTTTTTCTCAATTTTATACTTTTTACACACACAATCTTTGTTTCGTCATTAAATATATTGTTAAAAAAACAAAATAAATGAATAATTTGACAAATGCTCCATTTTCTGTTACAAATTACCAAAAAATGAGATAATACATCTTTTGTATTATCTTTCTCTTAGCGATTAATATCAAATACATTTTAGATTGTTAGAACAAAAAATTAGCATAAACAAAAATGATCACAATATCTGTATTTTTGATATTATATTTATAAAATTCACAATTTTTTAATATAATACATAATTTCTTTCGGATAAAATAATTTTTGTACATTTTGATCTCTTAAAAATTCGTTATAAAAAAAAAAAAAGTAAGACACATTTCTCTTTTCAAGAGCATTAAAAGAACAGCTGCGTTCCCCTCACGTTCGAATAATGTCTGTTTCTGGCGGTATTGATTCTGCGAAGAGTGCGTAGTCCCCCATAATAGTTCGAGAGAAAGAGACAGAGATTTTTCCCCTTTCAGAAACTATTCCCCCTTTCAAAACTATTATTACTCCGAGGATTCGAAAATAAGTTGCACGTTTGCCGTTCGATTTACAGCTAGACAATTATTTACGCAATCAAAAACCTTAGTGTATAGAAGAGTATTTCGCTTATTGCGAAAGCGCCGTACGTCAGCTCGCGAGGATCTTAATGACAACTCAATTTGAATATGACGAGCTGTTTTTATTCAGACCCAATTTCGAGCTTGCACTCACTTGAAAAAATTGCGACAAATTGCCGCGCGCTCCAATTTAAACAAATTACTCGTTTATTGGTCGCATCTGATGTTGTCGTCCGTTTCGCATCATATAGTTCCGTTATGATGACATCTTTCTCAATTTTTTAAGCGATTAACAGGAAACACGCTTTAAAGATACGATTGAAAGATGCATCTCTTTGCCGACAGAGAACTCGTGCAACATTTCTGTCTGTCTTTAAAGTGCGTCAACATTACTCAGCACGTTTTAATCGCCAGTCGTCGCTATTTACACCGCAAAATCGTTGTGTCGTTTTATCGATTTAATACTCCGCTCGAGTGTATAAAAAAACCCACGATTTATCAGCATTTGCAAGTTACATTCTAAAGTTTGAGTGAAATTTACGGTATATCTCATGTCTCGCATAAAAATTATTCTATTACTCCACAAAATTACTCTAGGCAATATTATCTAAAGCATAGCGCGGCAAGAGAAATGGTAAGTCTATGTAACTTGTGAATGCGGATTGTTAATTTTAGGCGCTAATTAGCACAAGCTACTTAACACCTAAAATTAACGAGTTTCTTCAAAGAGAAACTTATCCGTTATTTACATCACACAACTGAAAACAATTTTTTTTTCCATAGCAGAAGCTGGTGTTACAGAGTAGAAACATTGGAAACATATTTGAAGTAACAAAATCTTCCTATGAACTTTGCGCTGCGTACTCGCCACGCATCGTTGCGTCTAAGTGCGTTGCGTTGCCGATCCAGTGATATCGTGTGCATGTCATTATGCACCAACAAAACCGAACGCAAAAAATATACATAAATCTATTTTTTTGCGCTTGACGCACGACACGTTTTTCTCGAACGTGCAGCTCGCATAATTAAACTTCATAAAAATTGAACCATTTTCCGTCACGTAACATCGCACATGTTTTACGGTTGTTTAAGAAATATATTTTAATATTTCGCAATTGAAATTGCCTCTATCTATTTCCAATAACTTTACGACAACTATAGCTTAGCAATAATTCAAAGCTGTTATACATTGCATCGCGGTTAATGACCAGATGACCTCCTCTCTCTCTCTTTTTTCTCTTTCGTCGTTTACTGACTGTTTTATAAAAAGTTTCCGGAACTTATAAACCGGTTGCTACTTGGCGGCTACTAATTGAACTATATTTGTGTGTCACAAAAAAGAAATAAATAACACTGTACAACTTAACTGTTTCATCACGTTCATTACGTGTGACCTGAAAGATAAATCGCGATCTACACGGGGAAAAATCCCCGTTGATAGTCGACGTTTGTCACGGTCGACTATCACAATGTGACTATCAACTAGTTCAGGCAATTTAGAACCTATTAGAAACAATAAGGAAAGACGCTCGTAGAAATATTAGATGTTCTTTTCACATCGATTTCTTTATATAATTCTTAATATGATTCCTTAAATTACCAGTGTTAATTTTTTGTTTATGTCTTTTTGTTTTAGACAGAACACGATTTGCATATGCCACGGCTCTGGTTGTGGGCGCCGGCTCGGCGGTTTTCTTTTTCTGGTGGTGGTGGGCCAGGAAACAAAAGCCTAAGCCACCGTCGAAATGGCGAAAAGTCGGTGAATTGAGCGATATATTTGTGTTTCCTGTTAAATCACTCGGCACGATCCGCATGAATTCCATGGATTGCACGAAGTTAGGCTTGAGATCCGGCTGGCTCAGGGATCGCACATTAATGATTATTGATCTTGACGGAAATTTCGTCACAGCCAGACAAATGCCTAAGATGGTTCAGGTAAGAATCAAGATTCATATGTATAATCCTGAGACAAATAATTAATATGTAATTCTTAAAATATAATTCTCCTTCTCTCAACGTTTTATTTTATTACTTTAAAATAAAATTTATTAAAACATATATAGTAGTATATTAGCTCTACTACTGTAATTTTTTTGCTGTTGAAGGTGATACCCAGCATTTCTGGTTCCATATTGACATTCAACGCTCCGGGTATGATGTCAGTGTCGATAGATCTTGCTCAACTACGTGGAAAAAGTTTTCAAACTGCTGTGTGGGGTCAAGCGGTGCCGGCATGCGATTGCGGCGAAGAACCAGCTCGATGGCTGTCACGCTTTCTTCTTCAAGAAGATACCGGTCTTCGATTAGTCTATTATCCAGTAGATCATCCGACAAGAGAAATAAGAGAGAAGAACAAAGTCTTTCGACTAGAATCGAATGACACTGTATGTATCAGTTATATTAATAGTAAAATAAACAAAGTAAATGATATTTTTGAAATATTTAAATAAATTTTTAATGTCAATATCGATATCTTATTTGATAATCTGTTGAAATTACGATTCTGTAAGGGAGCTTATCCGGACGCGACAAGCTACAATCTCATCAACGAAGCTTCGGTAACAGAACTGAATAGTCGACTCGAGGAAGAAGTCACGCCGCTGCAATTTCGTCCGAACTTTGTGGTCAAGGGCGCTACGCCTTACGAAGAAGATAAGTGGGACTGGGTGAAGATTGGCGACGTGATCATGAGAAATGTTATGCCGTGTACGAGGTGCATGTTCACTACGATAAACCCGGAAACTGGAATAAAACATCCCAATACGGAGCCTTTAAAGACCTTGAGAAGGTATAAATAAAACATATATAGCAATAATACACATACAATAAAATAAAAAAAGGCAACAAAACTAGAATTTTATTAGTGTCTGTGTTGCTACTGAAATAAAAAAATTTTTTTCCCGCAGTTATAGGCAGTTTGACGATTTGGAACTCCGTTCCAAAAGCAGCTACAGCCCGATTCTGGGTATTCATCTTGCACTGCGAGGTTCAAATGGAACAGTCCGCCTGGGCGATCCGGTTTACGTGGGCATCACGGACGAAGAGATGCCGAATCTGGTTTCGCCGTCATAGCTACGTCGCTGGGACTCCTGCGTTTTAGAACACGAGCTACCGACTGAAGAAACGTGAAAAGCGGAGTCCCAGATCAACGATGATATTTTGACAGCTATGCTTTACTGCACACGTCAATTGAGCAATAAATAACGGAAGGATCAACGAGAATCTGTGAAGCGCATAGAATACAAACCTGTACTTGTGATAAGGTTCTTTGCGATATAATGATTATCTTATGAAAAAATAAGATTCGTGTTGTGGGAGATTTGGAGGAAAAACAACAATGGAATTACAATAGTTCTAGGCCTATGTATACGTGTAAGATAAATAATTAATTATAAGTGTACTTTATCTCATGGAATTGCAATAACGCGCGTGTTTAAAAATTAGAAGAGAATTCGAGAATACGTATTTTACTATATTATTGAGAAATTGTGATGATTTGTGAATATATATGCAGTTTATCCAAATTCATCGACTCGAACAGAACTTGTCTCAAGTGTCTGGAAATTGATTTGATTTTTCTTGTAATATTTTTCTAATTATATTTTTGTACTGTAAAACGATTCTAACGTACAATATTAATTAATAAGAGTTTAATAAGAATAACAACACACATTCGCATTTATATTTCTTACTGCGACTATAAAACAGACACAATAACGATAAGGAAGATGTGGAAAATACAAGAATATGATATAAAAATAAAAATTCCTTTTTATTACAATAATATTTATTTTCACTACAAAACAACAGGGACGTTTTACATAGAGAAATAGTATGCTCGGTGTCTAGAGAAGAGAAACATTGTGTTTCATGCTGACGACTTTGTGTTTGTTCAAATTATGTCGCTTGTTGAATCTTCTCACTCGCGAGAAAATCCAAGAAGCGAGAAAAAAAACTCGTTAATAACTCTCCGCGGTGACGGAATCAATGCCAACTGAAGCACACATTTGAGAAGAACGAAGTCTATTTTTAACTAACATTAACAATATTCTGCGAATTTAATTATACCCTAAATTGTTTAGAAGTTTAATCATCACCGCTATTTTTACGGAAGATGGAAAGAAATGAAAAAAAAAAAAAAAAAAATATATTGGATATAAAGAAGCAGTGCTACATAAAACAATAAATGCCTGGCACTATTGCATTTTGGGGCTATGTACAAGTTTGTAGTGTCTCGTTTATTCTTGTTTGCTCACAACGGTGATTGATCTAAATGTTCACGCGATTAGTCGAGAGAAGCACACTTGTGATTCTATAAATTCTTCTTCAGCGGCACACATCTTCTTTTTATGGTTTTTTTTTTTTTTTTACATAAAAAATAGATTTTCTATTCTCACTTTAATCGCGAATTTCGCAATCGGGTTTTTTTTAATGTCAAAGGACGGAGGAGTTTCTCGACGACGCGAGAACGCGACGAGAGAAACTCGATCCGCATAGTCGTCGGTGCATAAATCATTTCGTTCGAACTGTCAAACGGAGGAGGAGCGTGTCGGTATCACAAATTCAAAATAATTTTGCAGTTTCACCGTCTCTTTCTCTTTCTCTCAATGTGCTTCCATCGTACCATGGCGGCGCGAGCGACGCAATAACAAAAAATTTAATTCGATCGTCTTAAAACGACGATCGCCTACTGCGTACAAAAATCCCTCTATGTCGTTATATCTTAGTCGATTAAGGAGAAAAATAAGTAACAGAAATTTAAAGAAAATTAACATTAGAAATAGGACAGTAAAAGAGTGAAAGTGCGAGAAAAAAAGAGAAAGAAAGATAGAAAAAAAACAAAAAAACAAAAAAAAAAAAGAAACGAAAAAAAGTTAAGTGAAGAGAACGGAGTGAATAGAGTCGGACGGATTGAGTTAACATCGATCGTTTGAGAGAACGCGTTCGGTGACGAATATCTAGATGCTGTTTTCACGAAGAGCTCGACGGCCATCGACGAAGGAATTGAGTTCAGGATCTCGGGGACAAGGGGGCAACGTCAGAAGAAAGATCGATCCCGTTGCCAACGTCGTACCCGTGCTCCTTCTGGCAGAGGCGGTTCGGCGATGGTGTCCTGCGGTACCAAGGCCGATGAGTCTCCTTCTAATATGCTTCCTCATCTCGGTCGTCGAGTGAGGTCCTAGATGATGGAAGTGATCAATCGCGCTTTGAAGTTGACAAGACGTTCACTCGTGGCCGCCAGGCGCTGCAAAACAAAGTACATATTTTTACAACTTTTGCTTCGTCAATTATTGAACATTTCTTAATTTTCAATTTCAACGTGTCTTTTCTTTCTCTCGAATATTTCAAATATAAATTCTCACTAATTCGAACTCTTAATTATATATAATAAATCAACAACGGGAAATCAACAACGTGCTTGAGACAAATCGTAAGAGAACCGTTCTAGACAGGCGCTACGTTTACATGTTCCGTGCTACAACGTACGTATAAAAGCGCTTTTTCCGCTGCTCGCGTGTCTTCTTTTAATCGCGCGAAATTACGGTGCGCGGATGAGTTAAACACGTCGGATCAAGGAATTCCGCGCGACGCCACGAAGCGTGAACACTTTCGAACTATAAACGGATGCTTCTTGTACACGTTCGCGCGAGTCAACGCGCCGCGAATTGCGCATAATAAAACTATATTTTACGGTCGTTGCGAGACGAAAAAAAAAAAAAAAAAAAAGTAAAAATTGGCAGAGCCGATAAAAATTCGTTCTAGAATCTCCGCTCCGTTTTCTTTCTCTTCGCGCTTTTCAACAATCGGTTTCCTGCCTGTTGCACAGTTGATCGATCGCTTTCAAATCAGCTAATTTACATTACGCTGCACGCGGTTTCTCGCGAACATAATACAGTTATTACGATCCAGGGCGATGATTTTAGCTTCACACAACTCGTGTGTGCACGCTATAGAGAGATTCAAAGTGAGATACTACACTTACGCGTTTACTACACTTACCACGTTTCTTTGCACTTTTACTATAAACGACGGTATCGCGTAAAACGATTTTTATAAATACCGACTAAAAATAGAAGTTTCGATTTTTAAACTAGTATTAATACACTTATAAACTTATTATTTATTTTAATTATTTATTTTAGATTTTAAACTAGTATTAATCTCTTGAAACAAAATTTGAAACTTGAAAAAACCTGAAAATCTGAAGTGTTTTCTTTCAAATCAGTTTTTGATATTTCGCACAACATATTCAGTCTTAATTCTAAGGTTGAAAGTTAAAACAAGAAATTCATTTACGCGGTTTTATGCTCTGCAAGAGTTTAAAACTTCTTTAATGCGAATTGTTCTTAATTACATTAGTTAGTTTTGCATAAGCGTAAATTACTAAGCGTGTACTAATTACCTCGAGCTCTAAACCACCATATAGCGAGGATTTTATGAAAATTCTAAAACTGATTAAATCTCTTTCTTTGAATTAATTCATCTGAATAACAAGCGTCTGTTTCGTTAAAAACGTTAATAATATAGCGTCTTATCGTTGCTTGCGACCATTACGGTTTTCCGCGAATTAATTGCAGACTCGGTAAATAGTTTCACTTTCGTCTTGAACAAACAACGTCAGAGTTAATTGACGTTTAAATTAAAGAGAAATGATATATATGTATAAGTATGTAGACTTTAAGCGATACTTCTTCTCTTTTAAATTACACAAATAATTGGTTTTGATAATCAAAATGTAAAAAATCTAATCCCGGCACGCGCGCAGTTATCACTCACATCGACAATTTGTCTTTTTATTGGTATGGTAAATCTAATTTATCATCACCACGCTTCTATCTATTGATGCAGAAGAATATACTCTAACAATAACTGCGGTTATCTAGCTTTGAAACTGATTACAAAATCCTCATCGCGCGGACGCAACGAGTAAGAGAAAAAAAAATGTCGCGGTTACGTCGACCAGATGATCTAAGGTGGATCATTTTCCGCGGCGTGCGCGGCAATTCCGAGTGTTACGAGCATAAAAGTCATTGGTTGAAAAAAAAAAAAAATCGTAGCCGATTGCACGACGGAGAAATGAGAAAAAAACAATCTCCTCTTGCGTGATCGCACACATACACATGATGCAAGTTGCTTTGGGGTTCCGACTGTTGTATTTTAATAACGGCTTGATCCACTTTGACTGTCATTAGAACGATTCTGCTTCAATTATTAAATTACAGCAGAGGCTATTTATTTGCCGACGACTGTGTGATTTAGATCAAAAGTTCAGGAGCCACTTATCGAATTGTAGTGATCGCGAAACACGCGCGAATCTTACACACGAGCTTCGATAAGATCGTTAAGATCGAGCAGATTATTCATTCCGAGCGCGCCGTCCAAAGGTTAAAGAATAATACGCGAGATGAAATAGCGTTCTGCACAATATGTATTCAGTCAAGTATAGCTTACTGATTTCATGCTCTACGAACTTAAAATTGATTAAGTCACCAAGTGAAAGTACGTTTGACGATGTATGAAAATCGCGAATAAATTCTTTTTCACCTTCTTCCTTGTTTGTCGTGTTACAATAAATATAATTTGCAACATGTTGATGAATATTTATTTGCAACTTACGAAATATATGTAAATTATACAAGCTATAAACATATTTTTGTGATTTCGAAAACATTCCGATATACATATATTCATTTTTTTCGTGTCTGTTTTTATTTTGACTTTTTTTTATTTACAATTCGATTAATATCACAAAAAGGTGAAAGCTCGTGAATTTATTTTTATAGCTTGATTCTCTCTTTCTCTCTGCGTCTTCCCGCTTATTTCTTTGAGATCTTTATTTTATAAGTGAGCCGCAAACCCCAAACGAACGCGATTTCGACGATAGCCGCGTCGCGGCCAGTTGTCGCCCCTGGCAGTCTCGCCAGAAGCTGTTCTTGCATAAGTTGCAGCTGGCAAGTAGACGCGCTATTTCATAGAGAAAGTCGTGAAACACATTTTTGCTTTCCATCGATCCCGACAACGTGGCGCTTGCGTAATCCGTCCGGTTTATATCTGAAACGACGCGATGCGTCGCGGCGCTACGCTTGCCCGACTTTCGGCGCTGCCGAACACGCAAATCCTTCGCGCGTCGGCCGGTCATAACACTGCTTAATTTCTCTCGATTACCGTTCTGAAGTATTAATTAACAACGATTGCGAATCGATGTAACGCGGCCTTACGCCGCAACTCGACCTTCGTAACGCGATATTATGCCATTGCCTGTTTCGAGCGCTGATGAATATTTTAACGCGGATGTTTTTTTTTTTTTAATTCCACAGATTTTGAGAAATTTTATTGCACGTTTTTCCGTCGCTGTATGTTTTATTTCTTTGTGTTTTTCTTATAAAACAAAACAAACGTCTTTCGAAACGGTTGAGACTCGAAGGCACTTGCATTTATTTAATTTACCAGTCACATTCGACCTACTTGCTTCGAGGTAACGTATGGTTTTTGTTTTATTGTTTTGTCTGTTAAATTTGCATTTTAAAGTGTACCGAAAATTGTTTGACGCTTTCTCGTTACATCCATTTTAATTAATATATATCGCAACTTTAAACAAGAAATCACGACGCGAATTTCTCTTCGCAAATCCGTTAAAAAAACGAATTGTGACGAACAGTGCCGCAATTATCGCGTATCGACGAACGCAGCCGTCTGTGACTACAGATTAGATTACTCACCGCAGAATCGTAATCGAAATTGCGCCACGTGGAAATATTATTAAATTTTCATGAACTTGCGTTATACACTTCGCGGCTTCTTATTGGGTTTGTAGCGCGAGATCGCGAGTTTGTGTTATAATTTAAAAAAATCTTTTCTCACTCGCGACAACGGACGTTTCTCCACACAGATCGTAAATACATGAATAATTAAATACACGCTAGAAAGCTCACTCATGCGCATCATATCTGCGTGATCACGTGCACGACGATTTCTTTCAGTTTTCAAACAAATCACTTAGCTATCCAGGTGTTCGTTGCACGCAATATTTGTAATAGTAATTACAATTTAAACAGCGCCTCTCAAAGTCACTCTCTGTGTCTGTTAATTAATCGCGCTTCAACTTTTGACGCAGTTGTTTCAATTTCGTTAAACGGCGCGGATCTCGAACGAAACTTATCGATTTAATATCTCGAAATATATAATCACGACACGCTGGCATAAAGATCAAGAGAGGCCTTACATTAAACTCTATTCCGAATGTCTTTCAAAACCAGTTATTGAGTACTCGTGTGTGTCCATATTGTTGCGTTACGAACAGCGGTGTGATTATCGATAATCAATCATCATTAATTACATATTAAATTCGTTAGAAACTATATACATTTTTCTTTGCAGAATGTGACACGTAGAAAAAAAAGAGCTACATAAGTAGCACAATTGTTAATCAATAATAACTTAAAAAAATAAAACTAATATTAGGTTAATTAGACTTCGCACAAATTTGCTTAAAAAAAAAAACAAACAAACAAAAAAAGAAACAAACTCAAGAGATTGAAACTCGCAATAAAAAAATGATGTCTGTACTCACGAGTATGAGATCCTGGATGAGATTCGAGATTCCTCGGTTGGCGATGACGAAGAACCTTGTGACCGGGCCGGGAACAGCTTCCTGCGTGCCATCCGACCTTCCGGGAGTCGCGGTGCCCGAAGAGTTGCTTCCCGCCGCACCACCGGAGCTTCCGGTCACGAGCTAGAAAACGGTACCGAACGGCGTTAGATCGACGTGCAAGCGAACGGCGGCCCCGCCGTTTTTGGAATCTTCGCGTTTTCCGGAAATGCACTCCGGAACGCGCGCGCGGCGAAAGCAGACGGTACAAGTACATGTGGGAAATTAATTCAATCTATCTTTTGTTTGGGATATAATAATTTGCAGTGTATGTGATTGCAGCTCCACGTCCAACTCCAGCGCTCCCGACACTACGGTGCTCTCTCACATCCTTATTCCTACTTGCGGCTACGATTGCACACGATCCATCGATCTTGCTGCTACGATCCTTACGTGCGCTCCTGCGGCTCGTAATATATACTCGAGAGCCTGCCTGCAGGGTGTTCATATTACCCCCGTTTTCTTATTCCCGCCCGCGAAGCGGACTTTGGAGACTTATTCGTGGTTTCTCCCGAGGGAAATTCTCTCACGCGAGGCGTAAAACACCCGCGATAGTTAGAGATTTCTATATGAACACCCTGCGTGTATGCATCATAAAAAGGTGAAATCGCCAAGTGCCCAATAATGACAAAAGGAATGAACTATAAAACCATGACGGACTCGATGATACGCTTCGTATCTGACGATTCGCAACGCAACGTTGTGAAAGTAAAAATAACGTTCGCGCGCGAATTTTCCAGCTACTGCAAGCGCATCGAGTTCACGCGTCGTGGACCAATTACAAATTTGCATTAACTACGAGATCTGTGGCAGACATATCGGTTCTGAAGATTTTATATGTAATATGCAAGTTATTCGAGATTAAACTTTTTTGTTTTTAATTTACAAATATTATTTTTGAATTTTTTTTTGTACGCAACCGATTCATCTGCCGATTAATCTGCGTGCGTTTACTCCGGTGCGTCCAAAATATAATGAAACAAGATACAACTACGGCCGCTAAATATACGGTGCAGTGGACGAGTACGAAGATCACAACAACGAGAAAATCGGCACTGATCAAATGGCGGCCGAATCAGATTTCGAAATAAAAAATCGGCCTGTCCATTAGCCGGTCAGTACGCCATATAAAATAAGTCTTTTTAGTCAGTGGTTGTCAGCGTTGCGTCGGGACCGTTGGCCGGGTGGAACAAGAAGGAATTTGGAAACGAGATGTGAACGGACAAAATTATCTGGTAAATATATCTTGGAAAAAAAAATAATTATCAGAGACAATAAAAATCTAAAAATAATACGAGTATTAAATTTTATAACATATTGTTGTAAATATAAATATAACTTTTTAAAATATATAAAATATATTAAAAAATAAAAAACAATATTTTATAAGTTATAAACTCTTGTGTGCTTGTGTATATTTTTTAAGAAGTTAAATTTATAGTTAAATACAATATGTAAATATAAATTAATTTGTTTATTATTATTTTGTTTTAATAAACTATAATTATATTCCGATATACGGTTTAGAATTTGTAGAGACAACATACAATTAAGGGTTAAGGATGCGCAATTTGTACAAATTACATGCCAAGACCTCATTGCGATATTAGACATAAATATATATACATATATATATGTGTATATATATGTATATGTAAATATATAAAACGTGCGGAAATGCAAAAGAAGTCTCACATAGTGGATAAGAAAGACAGTTTCTTATAAAAAGGAAAACGGCAGATTAGAATTCGCTGTTGTATTATTTTCAGACATGTATGAGAGACATACACAATAGATTAGAGATCTTGATATGCGATTCATGCGCAGCTAGATAGATCGGCAAAAGGACGGAGAAAACGGTGTGAGGAAAAAACAAGAAAGATGTCAGAACAGGAAAAGAGCGTGTGTTGATAAAACTGTTCAAGTATATAAATCGTCGAAAGGGATATTAAGTCACTGGTAGAAAGTAAGTGGAAGATTTAAAAGAACGTCTTGTGACTTGAGCAACCAAGAGTGAGATGTGCGTGCAAAGTGCGGCATGCGGATGGGAAGTGCCTGAGATATTCAATATACGTGAGTGAGAGATTTTGTAATTGCGAAAGGAAATTGTGTGAAACGAGGTATTTTCACTAGAGAATAATAGAACGAATTTAATGCGAGTATGATTACGTTTGCGTTGTGAATGCGCAAGTTCTACTGATTTTGTGGCGGCGCGCGATTGCGGGAAAAATGCGCAAAACAGTGGAAATGTTAGTCAGTGGTAAAACGGAACATTATTTTGAAAGGAAACGTATATATGTGAGAAAAATCATCAAAATATCTAAATCAACACTTTTCATGCAGCTGTGAAAATGAGAGTAAGTAACGCATGCTCAGAACAGAATTTATTCAACGAGAGTTGAAAGAGATATTGAAAGTGGACATTGACAGGCGTATACAGTGCGTATTAGAAATGATACAGAAAAATAGGAAGAGAAAAAAAAGAAAGAGTTACTGAGGCAAACCCGAAAAACTCACGGTTGACACTATACTACGTGCAGCATCAACCGTCGTTCGTTCGCGTTAACAGATCCAAGAAGATGCTCGTCACACGTGGGCAGGCGCACACGTTGCGCGCGACTTAAAAGCGAACGCACAATGTCGCGCCGCAGCATGTAGATGATCATTTTCTTGGATCACAACTTTCAGGGCACATTGTTCGGGGAGAACAATATAAATACTTACAATCCCCGAACAATCGACGAACTCTGAAAGAAAGTGTCGCGCGAACGCGCGATGTTTATCGGGTTCGGGAAGTAGAAGCGCCGTGTCTTTGTCGGCGATGTCGGAAGAGGATTTGGCGTACCGATGGTAGAATGCCGGCTCCTGGGGCGGCGGTCGAGGATGCGCCGGACGTCGGGGTGCCAGTACCGCCAGCAGGGTTGGCGGCAGCAGGAGCGGCCTGCTGAGGCACCGGGCCTACGTCGCGCGATGCGCTTAGCCCGAGCCCGAGGCTCTGCGTACCGGCCACAACGCGGTACACCGTGCCCGCCGCTCTTGCCGCCCCGTCGGCCGCTTGCTAAACGAAAACAGAGACGAGAACGTTTCGTTTACTTTGGCTCTTCCCTGCGCTCGCTGGAAGAATCTCGCGCGGTCTCATTTCGCTCTCATTTTCCCATCTGCAACGTGTTTCGCGCGATCACAGCAATCGTTATCGTTCCCGCCGCATCTTCGCGGCGTGTCCTGCATCCGCGCTTCTGAAAAACTTCTGCAATGTGGCTGGAAAGTGGTTCGTTAAAGAGATCTGCGAGATCGCAACGAAGTGGGACCCTTCGAAAAAGTATCGAGACGGGAGTATCGTAGTCGCTGACGTCTTTGCTCATTGATCGATTATTTGCTGTTGTGAATAATGGAGAAAAATTAATAAATCGCGCGTGTGTCTATGTATGAATAGAGATCGTGTGACAAAAAAACTCGGTTCAATATCGATAAACGAGCATCGATAATTGTCATCAGTGAGATTGCAGATTTTATCTTCTGTGAACTTTGCTTGTGTAAACACTTGAGTTAAAGAATAGTCATTTTTTTTTTTTATGTTGACTGATGCAGTTTATTGTAAATTTAAATATCTATTGTCTTCTCGAAAAATAGTCGCGTGTCACATGTCGCTGATGTCACGGTTGATTAACGTGTTTGTTGTCATGTAATTACAAGTTTCTCTGTTTCTCTTTTTTTTTTTTTTTATACTGCGATATAAATACCAACTTTAATTAAAATCTCTTGCCGTAACAATTAATCTCACTTCTCACATCTTCCTCATAAGGAATTATCCCGAGTATCATTTATATGTTACGTGTCGTGATGTAAGACTGCGGCGCGCGCTTCTGGTGGCACAATTTCCAGAACCGCTTATTAACCGGCAAGTGAATACCCGCGATAAGAACGGAGTATCGGTCACGTAGTCGAGTTTCTCGTTTTCTCAATCCGGTGAAGGGTCGCGCCGCTGCGACCGACCGGTCTGGAATCGCTTCGAGCCGCTCGAAGTAATCGTGTCTTTTTTTTTGTTAGGAAAGCGGATAACGGCGGCTGTGCGCCCGGTGGAAACGGCAAGTCGATTTTCGCGTGATTGCATCTGTCGCGTCAGCGCGAAAAAAAAACCCGTTCCGTCGATTTACGAACAAAAACCTGAATATTGTGCTGTTAGTGTTAAAATGTGTCACCAATTTATTTTCAAAAAAAACATAATGTATGCGCAGTAAAATAAAAATCATTGTTTTGTATGTCGCAGTAAATTTTTTTTCGGAGAGACGTTTAAAAATGTTTATACTAAAAAAAAAAAAAAAAGAAATAATACTCTTTCAATTCAGACAGGTATATAGGATTATTGTAAATTTTGATTAGATTGCGAATTTTTTTTGTGTGGTATGCAGGCGTTTGTTATCTGCTTTATTGCTTGGCTCGTTGCGAATTTTTCATTCCGCAATAATAATTTATTACCGCGAGCACGCGACGAGCTCGCGCAGACTGCAAATCAAGGACATCAGATCGCGAATTCTACGATAACGTCAGAGGCACGAGGTCCGGTCGTGCCTAGGTCAGGAACCTTGGAATAGTAACTAGCTATAGCGCGACTAAATGCAATTCGGTTGCTCACTTTCACTGGCGTCTGTTCAAGTAGGCGCCCTTGCTCTTACCCCGTCACTCGAATATCAAGCGTTCTCGATCTTTCGCGGCGCGCTATATCGATGCATCTATACACGCGAAGTTTCATTTCATTTTTATTTTTATACTCTTTATCTTTGAAACAAACACGCGATTTAAATCGCGAAACGAGAGAGTCTCAAGAGTCTCTTCTCCATTTTTCACGCAGCGCTATCAAAAAGAGAAGTGTCTCGACACGCGACTCACCCTGATAAGGTCGAAGAGGAAGTTGCCCGACCCGCTGGTTCCGCTACCGCCGCCAAAACCGAAAAGGAATCTCTTGTTTCTGTTCTCATCCTCGTCCGCTTCAACCTCGTCCAATGGCGTCAGCTCCTGCGGCGCATTGTCGTTCGACACCTCGTCCGCAAATTGCACTCGCACTTCGTTGTTCTGCGATTCCGCGCCGATCTCGTTCACTCGATTCTCCGACTCCGGATTCACGTCCTGCAAAAAAGACATTTTGTCTCTGTACGACCAGGATCGATCGATCAAAAGCGCGATGTCCTTCGCGAACTCGTTGTCGAGTGTTTTTTTTCTTTTTATTTACGCGTGTTATTCAGCACAAGCTGTGTTATAATAATCCAGGTTATCGATTAATGTGAATCGTTGCGAATTCCTTGAACGTCCCGAGAAGAGAGGTGCACAAAAAATCGCGATCGATCAAGGCTCGACGTGTGTGACTTCAGAATCTGAGCTAAGTATGTTTAGGTCGTTTCTCGTAATGTCTTTTTTTTTTCTGAATTATTCATAACTTATAATTTGCGTTGCGCGAAGTTCCTCCTTAATCGAGAGTTTTTATGCACCAGAAGAAGACGATCATGGTTAATGTTTATACCTTTTGAAACCTGTTTCGATTTGTTATTTATATTTATGGAAATATATAAATTTTGTAATTAATTAATAATTTTGTGAGAACAAAACATCTTTATGTTTTTTTTTATACATATATATCACACACGTCAGATGAAACTACATTTCTGAGAATTTTAACACACATGCACGATCACAAGCAGCGGAAAATGTTAATCACACATAGATGTTTCTTTTTACGCAAATGTTATTTGTGTTAATGTAAAATAAATACGATGACGTCAAGTAATTGCTAGTGATTCATTTCAGAAGAAACAAAATATTAGTGAAAATTACATGTAGTGTATTTATTTGTGGTAGGTTGTGCGCACACACAGATAGTGCGCAAATTCCGTCAATAAACGTGTAATTAACAAGTATTCTGTTTTTCGAGATAATTATATCATATATATCGACTGGTTTGCTACATCCTGTGAAAGTTGTTGACATGGAACTGTTTTGTATTCTATATGAAAATAGAGATGAAGGAAAGCGAAAGACTCGAGATAGTTCGGACTGTGTTTGATGACATGGCCGTTTATTGCGTTTCGAGATGAACTGCGAGATCCGAGAGTTCCGCTCGCTATCGAGACAAGATAGTCTTGGAAGAAAAAAAAGATGCACGAAGAAATAGAGAGAAACTAGAAAAAAGAAGTATTTTTTTAATGCGTCTGTAAGTAACGTGAGATTGCGGATAAAGATCACAATGTTGAAATTCGAATTGTTTGAACACGGAGAACCCAAAGCCAGTAGAGTGATTAAAATTGTCCAGTGTATTGCTTAGCGAAGCAAGATCGTGTCTACATGAGTCTCGTTGCTCCAAGAGCAACATCGTTAATCGATTAATTGTTGAATAAGTGACACGAGATGACGAGAAAAAATTAACAAACATTGTCACACGGAAAGAGATGCGCGCAGCCGCTGCAGTCCTGGTTGCGCGGTAATTTAAGAATCAATCGTTACGACCCTTCGAGGGTTCGGGCGCGGTCGATCGACTTGCCGATCGATTTTGCGATTTGCCTCGCTTTTTCTCGAGCACCCCTCTAGTGAGTAGCAAGCACACAAACACAGTAGACAACACTCCCGTCGCAGTCCTGAATGCGCGGTGTAAATCTCTGCTGAGGCGAGTTCCTCAAGGTCATGACCTCGAAAGTTTTACCGAGCTGTTGACCGAACGGTCACAGCGAACTGGTGACTTCGTTTTCTGACGATAACGGCGTGGTAGTGATATCCGACGCAGCTGTCGTCGTGTTGTTTCCGCTCTCGATCGTTGTTGCGGAGGATGAGCTAGTAGATGAACTCTCGTTATTTTCCTCCTCGTCAGGTGGGAACGTGGGTAAAGCGACCGAGACTCTGGAACCGTTTGAAACGGTCGGTTTCGTGTCGTTATCATTCTCGTCCTCGTCGTTGTCGTCGTCATCGAAAGGCGATCTGCCTTCCACGCTTGTGCCGCTGTCGGACACGGTGACGCCCGGTGAATTGTTGTTGTCACCGAAAAGATTACGGAGAACAACCGGACCAAGGACGCGAATGACTTCCGCGACAATTCTGTTGACCTTATCTTCAATTCTCTAGAAAACAACAGGCCTTAGCTGAAGAGCCTCTTAAGCGTGTAATGGCCGATAGCTCGATCTTCTTTTTGCTCACGGGCTTCACTGAGACATCGCATTGCCTCGCGGTTGTGATCAATGGGTATGAAATCGATTCGTGGTAGTGATCGTTGATTCTATATTTGTCTATGAATAATGTCACCTGAATTGCGTCATCTGATTTATGCGACGACTTTTTCGAGAAAATATCCGTGCGACTAGTGGCAAATGTTCGTACAAATGATCGGTGTTCGGCGTATTAATTGAAAAGTGACTGATTTATTACGTATAATACTCTTTTGATTATTACCGAGTCTCTTTTGATTATTACCGAGTCTCTTTTTTCAGAAATTCACAAATCACGGGGGAAATTCACTTTCATCTTTCTTATGCAATATATTCCGTCCGCGTATTTCAAGAAGATTTGTGACTATTGAAAATAAGTACGAAAATTGCCGTATGACGTGCAATTATTCTGACGATCGAGAAAACCCGTTGTATCATTTCGTGTGTCACGTCGTCTGTGTGTCCAATCAACGAGAAGAAGATGCTACGTGGGAAAAGCTCCGGGAAATTTCGACATTCCTCCGACGAACGATCATCCGGTTCGCGCAAATCGCGGCACAATGTGGGATAACTAACTCACCGTTATTTCCACGGGGAGTTCGTTACTTGAATCAATCGTCGTTGTTGTGACATGCGACCGCATGCAAGAAAAGTCAGTCTGCGTCCCCAGGCCGGGAAAACCGTTGACTAACGAGACGAAAAATCGCGCACAGCGCACGTTATTAGTCAAATTAGGAAGTTATTGCCCCTCGGACAATTGAATGAGCAACGCGGACAAGAAGTGATTTCGTGCGTAAGACAGAAAACTTTCGCGAGAAAACGTTCGCTTTTTTTTTACGAGCGCGGACCTCCTTTGGTTTTTACTTGTTGACGAGAGCGCGCCGTGCAATTTTTGCCCAGACCATAACGAAACTTCCCCGCCAAGAAAACTAGTTATCTGCGATAACTCTTCCAAATGAGACCATGAAGTCGAACAAGAAGAAAATGGGGGAAAAAAAAAGTATAACTCAGGAAGCGTCGAATAATAACGGTGTAAGAAATCGACGAGCGCGCGACGATGATACTTTTTGCGAGCCCGAACACATAACCGACCGTTTTCGCTTTTTATCATGTGCAGAAATAAGATAAGATTGTGAGAGATAAATCGATCGAGATCGCGCGTGCGCGCGCGCACACGTGCGAGCGTAGTGCCTGCGAGGCGAAGGGTGGCCGGCACCAGAACGCACGTCGGCTGACTCCGAATGTTACTTTCTCGGTAAGAATGCCAAGTTAAGCCGCTGCGGGGCCGCTTAACTTCACAGTATCGACGAGGCGAAATCCTCGACGACGAGCGTCAAAAGTTCAGGGAGATGCTCAAGGATCGTCATAATGCTCCTTGATACATAAAGTTGTTTGTCGAGCGATTAATCTGTGATAATTTATGATAATCTATGTGTTGCCTCGCGTTCGTAAATCGCATCTTATTGATCTTTCCCGGCCTTCTGCGGGCGTTTTTTGGTTTTCTTGTTTTTTTTTTTTTTTTTCAACAATTATTATATCTCGACTGCTCACCTGGGAGATTTCCGGGAAGAACTGTCGCAGAATGCCGATCGTCCGTTTGCTCCTCAGGGCCGCCTCGCTGTCGGCTTCGGCCATCACCAGCCGATCAAGGGCCTGAAAGAAAGTTTCCCATTGGGCCCTGCCGTACGACAGCAACTTCTTCTTCAATCGGATGCAACGAACGGATGCTCTTTTAACCGACGATAACTCGCAAAACGCGCCCAGGATTTTCAGGATTTCGTTCACGTGTATGTTAGCACACATTTTTAAATCGTCGAAAACAACTTATATTGAATCGTTAATTCTAACAGCTGTATAGTTTGTTTTTTTTTTGTTGTACTAAGGAAAATAGTCTATCTAGTTTTAGAGAGCTATTGCTTACGCAGTTGCGCAAAAAAACTCTCGCGATAATATTTACGCCGCAGTATATATTTCGCTTATAAGCGCGGTCGACTACGATCTGATCGGTTTACGATGAAATATACGGAGTGATATAATCCCTCTTTTTTTTTTTTTTTTATTTACTTAGAGATCAGAGCCGTGTGTCTCGTAAACGAGCAGTGGCGTTAAAAATATCTCGAGAAGCGTGTAGCGCAAAATAGCGGCAAATAAGGAAAACATCGTACACTAGTACTAATTTTCTGATTTGCGATGGAAATGAAAACGGTAAAGACCATGGAGTTTTAGTGCGCCTTGAGAATGTTAAGGTGATTGTGTTGTGCAACAAAATTTGTTGTTAGATAATTAAGCTGGAGATCGTTATCTAGGTTGTATCTAGGTGTTTGTTTGAGCGAATTCTTTCGGATTACCTCACGGTTATACTCCCTTGAAAACGTAACATCAATTTTTTCATCGAATCTAGAAAGCATAGAGCGTGGTTTGAGATTTTTATCGCGAGTTACAAAAATACAGACAAAATTATAAATGACATATATTACTGAGTGTGACGACATCGCGATTCGACATTCGATAACGTCATCGTGACATTGACGTTAAAGAACACAAATAAAAATTTATGGTTTTAATTTCTCCCGTTCAAGAACGTGTTTGGTGAGCCTTGATTAAATACAGTATAATTAGATGTGAAAAATGCACAATCGATTTAACAATTTTGGGATATTTTAAGAATTACGTAAGATCGAGGCGTGTTATTTAATCGGGAGACTTGTTGGTACAAGGTGATTCGGTTGTCTTAACATGTAATCTACATCATTATCATATAAAATTTCGTACTGATAGAATTATTGGCCAATGAGCGAACGTCGGACTCAAATGTGTTGCCCAACTCCATGTGGAGTGCGGTTTACTTTCCCTCAAACCTCGTTCGCATTCGTGTGTGATCGCAACAATAATCTTCTCGACCACGGACAAGAGGTTTCACTCAAAAATTGCGGTCATCGCGCGAAGAATAAAATATCGCTATCATAAAAATCTTATCCTTACGAGAGAAATAGATCTTTCTTGAGATCTTTTAATTCCCGACCGCATCTTTGACTATTCTTTCTCGTGTGTGAGATGCACACAAAGCTCTTTGATTACGTTCGCGATATCATACATTTTACGATTGCGTAAAAAATAGACGAAGCAGTCAGATGTGTGTAATTTGTTTGTACACACACGGTGTGAGTTTCGAGTCTCTCTCTTTTTCTCTCGGGGCATCGTGATGTTACTACGTACGCGCGTACGCGCTTGCCAGCTTTCCATCGGGCACCAATCGAGCGAAGAAAGTATCCGGTGACTCCGACGGTGTTCGCGGCCAGTGAAAGTGTCGGCGTCGAAGACGAGAGCCGGTCGGACGAGACCCTGCGTTTCGTCGGACCATATACTTTGAGGGTTACGCCGTTGTACTACCTGACGGCGTAACCGAAACATTGACTCCTGACGCTCGCATCCCGGTATTACGCGCGAAATACTTTCCGTACGAATAACTCTCGTCGTCGTCGTCGTCGTCGTCATCGTCGTCGTCACGTAACTGTCTCGGCCGATGGTCATTTCTTCCGCTACACTTGCGCGCACGTGCGTTATAATATCGGATGGCCTCAAAATATATAATCGGGCGTTATGTAAAACCACGATAATTATAAGTAGAGATTCCGGTAAACGCTACAAATTCAAACTAGTATCAACTGTGAAAAAATATAAGGAACGAATGTGGATTTCTCGGGTCACGCAATGACGGAAATTCAGTACCGGTATAATTTGCGAAGAATTAAAAAAAAAAAAAACATCTGCTTTTGTTGTAAAATATTAAAGATAAGAAAGTTTTAAAGCGCAAAAAAAAAAATATTATTTCATTTCTCACTCGTGTTTGAGTATCGAAATGTATTTGTTGTCTATGATCAGAATTTATCCGCTCCGAAGGCGCATAATGTATTTTTTTTTTTTTTTCACACACGATAGAACACGAAGAATAAGGAAACGAGCTCCGACATCGTCGACACATTTCCGAGTAACAGAATGTTAAAGTTAAATAAACAGGCGCTTGTTTGCGGTTCAATAAACCACCAATCGCCTCTTACGCGCGCCGTCGTAAACTTCCAATTTTATTTGTCGCTAGTATTCGGTAGCGCCGATTTTTGTCGAAGCGACATTGTTGCTCGAAAGTAAGAAATTTGTCGAAAGCGAAACATTCCTTGAAGAACATCGAACGAATCGATTCGGTAGAGCGATCGGAAATCGTAATCGCTCGCGAAACGGAACGTAGCAGTAACTTTCGCGAGGGAGACTCTCGTTCATCTTGTTTTGCTATTTATATTGAGTGATAATCAAGACGTTTTATCGTTCATATATTCTGTTGCGATGATAATTACGCATAATTTTCACGTGTCGTGTCATCGAGAAATCTTATGTGACGCATTTTTACGATGCAAATCGAAACTTTCTCCTGCGACTAATGAAAGGAATAAACAGTAAGCGAAAGATAAGATTAAGCAAAAAATATCAATATATACGCACTCTGCGATTCAATGCGAAAGTATAATCGGCTGTTGCATAATATTTCACTCGAAAAAAACTAAAATTTGTTGACCACCACGCGGACGGCTAGAATTCCGCGCGTGCCGCGCTTTAAAATTCAAATCTCGAATTCCTTAGTTAGTTGCGTGCCAGTCGTGTTAGATGGTTAAGCGATATACCGAGGTAAGAGGGAGCCAAACAAGCTTAATTCGTCGTATTAATCTCGGCGAGTGCTGGCGATGTTAAAAGAGAAAGGCACGAAGATGTGCCTCTCACGTGTGCTTACCTCCGATCGGAGTCCATCTTCCGGAAGCGGATATGAGCTCACCAATGCGAGACAGAGCGCAGCCGTCAGTGTCAGGATGATATATCTCATCTTGGCCAGATGGATAAACTCTGCAAAGCCGATCGTGTGTTAACAAATTTGCTCTACGTCTTATATTCTATAACTTATAACAGTAGGAAGATATCGCAGCATTGGTCAACACTTCTCATGACTTTTTTTTGTTAGTGTTCGACACAATGGTGCTTCAACACGTCGCAATTAATGCATCGCGGCGTAATCTCGAAAGCGAGATTTCTTGTATTTTACATATTGTTCGTTTGTAAACGTCTTCTCAGTACACTTGAGAAAATCGTGCGCGCGAAGGAAGTAACGTGGAAACAAATGCGTAATCGATGTGCGCGCATTTAATGAGTATATGAGACGTTTCACGGGGGAGGGGGGGGGAGGAGAAAGGAAGACTGTAGTCCTTGCACGCGTCCTCTCTCGCGATTCTCTCAAGTATTGTTGTCGATACCGTCCTCTCACACGTGGACTTTGATTAAAACTCATAAATCGGCGCAATGCGCGCGGCGGAAATTGCCCGCGACGAGCGTGAAAAGACTGAGAGGACGGAAAGACGCAGGTTGAGAGAAGCGAGAGGAAAGGCGGAATGACTCTCCTTTCTCGAGCATGGATCCGCTCGCGACTATCACTTTCGACGGAATGAAAGTGGAGAATGCTGTTGGCGTCTTTCAGACGCGGGAGGAAAGAACGTGATAATGGGCGCGCGCGCGCTCCGCAATTAATTCGATAATATAACACGACACGCGTTTGATTTTGTTCCCCCGCGTGCGTCACATCCGCAATAAAATTGTATTAATTGATATACGCAGTTCCTGTGAGAATGTAAGAACCACTCTGTACACAAATCAAATCACCGCTCGGTCTGCCATGTAAATACAGAGAATGACTAACGAAAACCGGTTATGAATGTATAAAATCGTAAGAAGATAAGTAACTAATATATTCAATTATTTTTAGACATTGTGCGCTGTGTCCCGAAAAATTGTTGCGTGTAAGTGAACGTGAGATAAATGTCAAATCGCGAAGTTTCTGTTTTGTTTTTTAAAAATGTTATTGACGCGCAATAATTGCAGTTTACTAATATGTCACGCGCAAGAAACGATGCGTGCATTTGGTATAATGAGAAAGGCATCAGTAATATATAATGTTATTAAAACACATTAAGATATAGAGATTCAGCACACATCACTTCGACTTGAGGACAATGTTGCAATATGTCATTTTCGAGGTCGCATGCCAATTATTGTAATTACTAATGGCATTTCCGTACCATTTCCAGTACCTTTGCTATATAAAAAAATTTACAACACGATTGTTAAGTGAAAATATATTTATATAGTTACATATGTGTGGATATTTTGTTAAAGTTTATTATTTGTTTAATATTGTTTATTATTTGATTATTTTGTGTGTGTGTGTGTGTGTGTGTGTGTGTGTGTGTGTTAAAGTTTATTTATTTTTTCTAACTTATTTTAATTTAAACCAATGAGTGAATATAAGGCCTTACGAGCCGTTCTCAAAGTGTTGAGCGAGAACTTATACATGTATATATATATATGTATACACATGTAACGAATTCACTTGTAATTGTTATTTTAATTTATATGTAAAAGATTTAGTTAAGACACATACAATGTTAGATTATGTTTAATTAAAAAATTAGTTTTGAAAACTTATATAATTAAAAAAACTCTTAGACAAAGAGTTTTGTATAAAAAACATCTACTTTTTAACGAAATAAGTTTATACAATAATTGCGTGTAGATCTCAAGTTTCACTACAAAGAAATTAATGTTTTCCGATAAATTTGAAAATTCATTTTATATTTTTGTTCTGCAAATCTTTCACGTAAAAAGATAAACTTTGTTCATTTAAATTTGTATTATCTCTTAAGTAAGTTTTTAAACTTATTGCTTGATAATTTTTTATGTGCAAATAAATAAAACTTCCACAGCTTATATGCACTATTAAATTTCTAGAAACTGTGCGAGTATCTGCAACTTTGAATTTCCATTAGATGACTAGTTACTGATGAAATTGCGCGTCCAGATGGAAAGTGATTTCTCCGGAAAATCACGATTTGAACAGCTCTTTCTGTAAATATTGAATATCTTCCAAGCAGTTTTTATTAACTTTTGCAAATGACATTTAAAAACCAAACCAATTTTATAAATTTTTTAAATGTCATTTTTATGAGACGTTTTTCTTATCCGAGTGTGACTTTTTTAACGCTGCTAAATGTTTTTAGAATTTTTTGTGTCTACATTTTCATTCTCGAAAAACTCACGAAATATGAAAAAAATTTCCCACTTGTCAATCACCTCGCCACGTGGTCGATGCATTCAGCAACTTTTCACGAGACACTGAGAGGACAAATGCACGACAATCCGGATGGGGTTGATATGAAAACGCGAAAAATTTTTGTCAACTCACCACGCACAGATATCCGTCACACGATTGTTATAGTGAAATTTATTGAACTTGATTGAAATTTTAAAAATATCTCGTGTAGGCCCTGAAAGAGCTCTCGGTGACTCCCGCTCTCTTCGGGGTTTTCTGTTACTGTCTGTATAGCGGCGCTTAGTGAGCGGCTTTTATTAGAAGGAGGGGCCCGGAGCCACCTCCACGCTACACTTGTACTCGCGGTCTCTCGTTCTCTCCTTCAAGACGAGAGATGCTGAAGAAGGGATCAACTAAATCAATAAATTTCGGTCCAATCGCCGGAAAGTGGACATTACCACAATCAACGTGATCACGTTCGATAAACTTTTGGAAAGCTTTTAACTTTAACTTTATATTATTTTTTTGTCATATAGCAAATTATAAACGGATTCATATTGCAAGCGTTTTTATTTGCATTACTTTTATAAATCATTACATCTCTCTTTTTATAATAATAAAATTTATTAGTTATGTATATAAAAAAGATATTGTTATTTTTTAGATTATTTTAAATATTTCGATTTATTTATAAGTTTTTTAAGTCCTGACGTGATAGCGAAATTCTGATGAAATGAAATTCAGATTCGAATCAGCGCGTGCGTCAGAATCTATAAGAATCGTCTTTTTTTTATAATTAAAATTTTAGACAAAAATTGTAAATTGTGAACCAGTGACCAATTAATCTCATAAACTTGTATCTTCTTCAAATTTAAATAAAAGAAATTATTTGTTAAAATATGCTCAATTACTTAAAATTTTCTATACTTACTGATTGTCATATTCGGTCTATTTCAAAGCGCGTAATCTTTTCGGGCGTCTTCTCCTATCGACAGATGCAGACCTGTTTGTTTTCCAGCATTATAATCTTAATCGTTATCTTAGTTGTTGTTTTGCTGTTTGATATCGTCAACAATCAATATACATCGAGTAAGTAAGGGAAACAAAAAATAGAATAGGTACAAGGTAATTTCGGTCTTTACAAAATTATGTGATAAGAGATTAAATATGTCTCTTAAACTACTCGTAAACTACGGTACACAATATAAAACGCGTGAGCAAATATCGAACAATGATTATAAAAAAACTTTCTGATTAATGTCTTATAATTATTATTTATCGTGCTCATCCATGCGTTGCTAATCATCACTTTTACTCATAATACAAAGCGGTAAACATTGTAGCAGTGAAATCTTACTTATTTTCTGACGACATAAGCTATTAAACGGAAATTCCTATCGATTAGCGTAAAATGGTGTCGCTGTTAATTATGCATGTGTCCGTGTACGACAATGCATTTTTTACTCAAGTTACGGTAAATTCTATAAATAATAATCGATTTAACTATTTGTTTTTTCAGCAATCACACCTAGTTAGACAACATTGATGCATGTGTGATTTTTATTTTCTCAATTTTTACAATTTTGAATTATAACTCGAGACCTTACCAGATTTGAATATAAATTGTCGCAGCTAGAAATAGGAAGTAAAAAACGACATTGCGTTATAAATACCCAATATACGGTGTTGCACACGCACACTGAGAGAAATATGCTTGGTATTTACGACTATAATTGCATAGTAAAATAATTATAGTTGGAATTCTTATTTTTATCGTTAATATTGCTATAATATTAGTAAAACTAACCTTATATACATGGTTTTGACAAGTATGTAAAAAGTTTGCTATAAATTATAATAATTTTAACTAGTAACAT